TTGAAGGCGGCGGGGGAGGGCCCTCGTGGGGCCGACGTGGGGCCGACGGGGGGCCCAAGCAGGCGGAGGCCGCTGGCTCCGCGGCCGCGAGGTCACTGCGTGCGCCTGTCCCCGCCCTCCTCTCCCTGGCTGTTCGCGCCCAAAGCCACCGGTTCAGGGCCGCGGGCGGGAGCGGGACCCGGGAGACCGCCGGGTTACCCCCTTTCTGCAAGAAGGCCGGCTTGGGACACCTCCATTCGCGTATGCCTGCGGGACACCGGTGAGCTCAGGCAAAGCCTCAGCATGCCTAGTGACGTCCGCCCTGCGGGCTCGCGGGGCCATAGCCTTGACCCTGGGTGTCCACTTGCGGATCCCTACCCTGTTTGGCATTAAGGACACACAAAGATGTAAGAACCCTGGGGAGTTGAGGGGGGTCTATGATACTACTAACCTGGCCTGGATACAATTGTTCGTACCATTACCCAATTTCTTAATTATTACTTTTTGCCCCGATTTCATGTTCACCAAAGCAACCTTCAGATAATGGACCTTGGTACTGTAAACAGTCCCCAGCATAGTAAAAATATGTTGTAAGAACTGATAAGGTCTAAAGGCTTCCTTCCCAAATGCTTACACCATAAAAATAAGAGAAAGGAGGATGCAAAAATAAATACAGTATGATCCTAATACTGCTAAAATTATATCCATATAGGTAGACAGATAGATATGAAGTGTTAATCGATGGTATAATTTCCATTTTGTTCTTCATACATTTCTGATCTTTTTGAAAGTTTCTATAGTGAACATATATTTATAATCAGAATCAAACCAATAAGTGGTTTTTAAAAACAGCAAACAGGCAAAGAGAAATAAGTAAATAAAAGTCGATCTGCTTCTGTAGATTAATAAAGTGATTTTCCATTTGCAAGTCAACCTATATATATTTAGTTAGTACAAATTCCTGTACAGTAAACTACACATATTTCAGATGTATCATTTGATGAATTTTGACAGATATCAGAAGCTGGCCCTGGCACCGGTTATGTGCCTACTGACGTGGCAAATGTGTTCTTTTCGACCTCCAGCCACAAACCAGGATGAAACGCAGGTCATAATTACGGGAGAAAGATGATCAGAGACATTCAGGGCTATGCTGACTCCCCTGTACTCTGTCAGGAAACAGGCTACAAAGAGCAGAAGTCCTGCAGAACATCACGTTGGTCCGTTATATTAATGAAACCTGCTCACTGGGCCTGGTGAGCAGGAAGGAGCAAGCACCGCAATGCCCTAGCACGGTATGTGCATGCCAGAGTGAGAAACAAACCCCCCCAGAGATTCAGGGCCTGCCACGTTAGTGAAATTTCCAGAGGCGTGATGGTCTGGCCATGCCAGTATCTTCCCTCTAAGGTAAAGGGCAAGTTATTACACCTCGTTCTTCCTACCACCAAGAAAAAGACATGGTATTTGGCAGGCCTCTTTAGAATCTGGAATCCGCCTATTTTCCGTCTGAAAACTCTGCTGCTTCCACTCCGGAGGGACCAGTATTTGGAAGTGACAGTCATTGATACCTACTCCAGATATGGCTGTGCGTCCCTGCCTACAGTGCCTCTATCAGCATCACTAGTGGAGGGCCTACTGAATCTGATTTACCAAAATAAGCTCTGGCATCGTATCACCCCAGATCAGAGGACCCATTTTATGGTGAAAGCGGTGTAACAATGGGCACATGGCCACAGAATCCATGGGCCCCCTCCACATTTGGCATCAGCCAGAAATGCGGAGCATGTTAAGAAGATGGAGTGGCCGTGAAAGGTTCAGCAAAGGCACCAGTTTGGGGACAATGCTCTGCAGATTTGGGGTGCTGTCCTCCAGGATGTGCAATGTGCTGACATCCGGTGTTCCCCAGTAGCTGGATCACACAGTCCGGAATCAAAGGGAATAGAAATAGAAATATAAACAGGCCCCCTCAGCATCTCTTCCAGAGACCCATCTTTAGAGTTTGTGTTTCCCATCTTCATAACATTAGAGTTTGATGGATATAGAGGTCCTGGTTCCCAGGATCAGGAGAAGGGGAATGCTTCCACCAGAGGATAAGTGAACACATGAAGGAGTCAGTGACACTGTTTGAGAGACCCCAAACCATAATTATCCAGCTAAAGCACTTTCAAATTCCTGACCAGCAGAAACCATGACATGATAAATGCTTTTTGTTTTAGGCTACCAGATTTGAGGGTAATTGGTTATGTAGCAATAGAGCGCTAATACAGTCTGCAAGTTTGTATCTCCAGCCATGTCCACTCCACAGATCTCAAATTCATATATCGAAGTACTGACATAGGCAATAACATGGAGAATCTCAAAAACATTACACAGCATGAAAGAAACTAGACACAAAAGAGCATCCTGTATCATTCTTTTTATGTGAAACTCTAGAAAAGGCAAATCTAACCTGTGGTGACAATGCAGACCAATGGTTGGGTGAGGGCCAGTACGCATGGGTTCTCTTACTCCCAGCTACCCCATGGAAGCTGAAGAAAAGCACCCAGCTACCAGCGCCTCCCCAGACCCAGCGCGGGCCCACGCCTCTCCCCTTTCACCGCTTCTGCGTGAGTCTGGTTCACAAAGAGGTCTTGCTTGTTTTTATCTTGACCAGCTCCCTTTTGGGTCTTTTCTCTTTTTGTGTTTTATTCATCATTATTACGTCTGAAGCATGGAGTCATGATGCTCTTTGTAAGTCTGTCTTCAGTGACTTTTCTATGCACCTGCCCCTTCCCTAAGCTCCCTTCTACTAGGATCCCTGCTCCTCGGCCCCAGAAATACCCCCCAGTCTTGTCTTAAGGCTGCTTTGTTCTTAGTTCTTTCTCCTGTTCTCCAGGTCATTTTTCTAAGCTTGGCTGGGATGCCAGCTCTTTTGTTTCTTCACTGGGACAAAAATTCCTCCTGGGATAGCAGCTGTCATGACATTTGCAGTGAGGCCCTGAGCTGGAGTCCTGGCTGCCTGGCCTGAGCCAGTCTGTAACTCTCTGGCAACTAATCCTCCTTTCATAACCATAGTGACGTGGACTTCACCCCGTAGGTGAGAGCTTACGGAGTGCCACTTAGGTAAAGGTGACCTGGGGCCTGTGGGGGTGCCCACTGGGTTCCTACCGCCTGAAGGCAATAGTCACAGCAGACCCCGTGAGCAGGCACTCTGCTCCAAAACACTGCAACATGCAGTTATTCTTTCTCTGCTACAGATGAGGAAATTGAGGCTGAATTGAGAGAGGGGGAAATGACTTGCTCAAGGAAACACATCCAATTACTACATTACTGTCATTGATGGCACATTCCTCTCCTTCCCCCAAATTACCCTGCATCCAAAGGACTTTCAAAAGTCTAGGACAGAAAATAACAGAAGACATTCCTCCTGGTGGTGGGGTGCATCAATGCACAGTGTGCCTGCAAAGACGTGAGGGTCACAGCCTGGAGCATAACAAGCAAGTCACAGGACACTCAGCTGATCAGGAGCAGAAGTGTGAGACTTCCCATTTTTTTCCCCAATAGGTAAGTCTCATTGCATTTTAAAGATATCACGAATAGATCTTGGGAATCATTTGGCATCCTCTTGTTTCCATAGCTAGACGGCGCAGAGCTTATTCATCAGCCTGCTGATTGGTTCCTTTTTCAGAGACACAAACAACATCCAGAATTTTTCTGATACCCCTGTTTTTAACTGTGGCTTGCTGAATCAAAGCAGCTGAAGTTGATACAAGTTCAATGCAAGTCACTTTCTGGGCTTGAAATTCTGAATGAGCAATGCCTGGCCTCATATGAGCCCTGCAGATTATTCATCCAAGAAATTTCAGATTTCAACAGGAGACCTGCTCTCCTGAACGCAGACGTGCATGAGGAAGTGAGCAAACACAGACATACTCTTGTGCTGGAAGCCCAGTGGAACACCCTTGATCACGTGCTGTTTGGCAACAGACTGTGTTTCCTGGAATCAGTTCCTTTCTCTTCTCCACTGTTTGTCAACCCAGAGCCCTTTCCTTTGTTTCCAAGAAACCTGAGTTCTATACTGATGAAGACTGTCTGCAGGGTGCCTCCAGGGGCCTGTGTGTCCCTCCAGAGTGATGTCAACATTTTCTGGAATGTTGACAGTCTGGTTGCTGAAAATGTCTCCATTCTCACAGTGGTTTCAGCAAAGAGAGCATTTAAGGTTTTTTTTTAATCTTTTTTTAATTCTTTTTTTTTTTGGTGGGGGGAGGTTATTAGGTTTATTTATTTTTTTGTTTTTTTAATGGAGATATTAGTGATTGAACCCAGGTCCTCATGCATGCTAAGCATACACTCTACCACTTAAACTACACCCTCCCTGCTAAGGTTTATTTTTCAAACAGTTTTATTGAGATATAATTCACATATCACATAATTCATCTATTTAAAATACAATTTAGTGGGTTTTAGTCTATTAATGAATATCTATGACCATCATTATGTCGACTGAAATAAAATCACACGTGAGGGTTGTGGGTTGTTTTATCTGGGACAAAATGAGGACTCTAGGCTGGGAGATAGCATCCCAGAGAGCTCTGAGAAACTGTTCCAAAGAGGCAGGGGAAAAACTCAGTATCAAATATGATTTCACTGGAGGGGGTACGTGCAGTCAAGCACACAGTTAGGCAGAGGCTGCTGCTAGTCACAAGGAGCAAATGTCACCCATAATGATTTTAGTGCTTTTCTAGATATGAGGAGACGC